ACCACAAGAAAACGGACCGTCCGTTTTCTTCTTCTTCCCCACTTCCAGTCGCATACCGATGCAGAGCAACTACAGCGCCCCTAGAGGAATCGGATGAGTGAATTCAACAAGTAGTGCGTCTCATCGGCCCATCTGATCGGCCTTTATAGAAACCGCCGATCAAACTATTTAAAGCCTTTATCGGCCGATAACGATCGGTGACCGATCAATCGGAGCACCCTTATATGATATTATCGCAATATTGCAATATCACTATATATTACGGTATTTTTCCCAACTACCAAAATTACAGTTATAGATGAAACAGCAAGTTCTGTATATGTTTATCAGAAGATATTGATCATTTAGTTATTTTGGTATCCGTTCTCTTTCAGGTTGTGGTCAGTCCACATCTTCCACTGCGAAGGCCTCAACTACAGATATGGTGCTGCGCCGCACAGCTAAAGGGCTCCATGGTGCTTTGTACCACAGTGGCGGTGCAGAGGTAACAAATTTTCCTTCATTTTTTTAGGTAAAATGTTTTGTTTTTATACTAAGAACTGAAAAATGTTTATTATATCGGGCAGCCGAAGATCACGATATTTCGCAAAAACTGTTTTCCACACCCCTAGCAAACAGTATCCAAAAAAAAAAAACTATTCTACCTTACACTTAAGAAAATGAATTATTAAAGATGATTATTTGCTTGTAAATAATCCATGTGAAAGCCTCTGTTAGCTTTACAGTAAACCAAACCCTCCTTTTAAGCTCTGGGCTGTTTGATGGCCTCCTTGCCATCACCCTAATCATTAACTCCCTCTATTGATTTCCTTTCAGATTCAAGTTGGGATTCTGGCAGTAAGGCTCCAAAACATTCACATGCAAGTAAAAATCAATATAACTTTGAACCAGAGGAGGATAAGAACAGGTTATATTTATTCAGTTACATCATTTGAGTAACTTTAAAAGAATGTACTTTTAGGAGTAATTTTACAGTGTTGTACTTTTTGCTTTTACTTGTGTAAGATCACTACTTTTAGTGGCTATTCGACCCGTTAGGATTACCTTCACTTAATAAAAACAAGCTGGTTTTGAACAAATTTGCATCAGGGAAAGACACATTTTTCTTTTTTAATAATCAGGGCTTATTTTTCTAAAAAATATATATCATCTATGAGTGTTTAAAATACAGTTTACTGTTATTCTTCCTGTAACTATTGTGTAATTTATAAAACTCCAAAAATGTATATTGAATTTCATTGATATTTCATTATGTAATTACTTTATGTTAAGTTTATTTTTTATCGACCGATCAGAAATTGCATATAAATTTATATTGTATTTAATAATGTTAAGTCATTTTGTAAAATATTTAATACATTATTATGATCATGAGAAATAAGTAGATTAGTTACTCTTTACTAGGTTAGTTTACAAAATACTTTTACTCTTAATTTAATCATTTCTTGGACGACTACTTTTTACTTTTACTTGAGTAAAGACATGATGAAGTAGTGCTACTCTTACTTGAGTACAGTTTTTGTGTACTCTACCCACCTCTGTTCAATAGGGTATAAAAAAACAGGCTTAATTGTGTGAATAAAGGACTGAATTAAAACAAGGCAAATAATCCAATAAATAAACTGAGGGTGGAGTTAAAGTCATGCAGATTTTAGGTGACGTAGCGACCAAGCTAAGTCTATGAGGAGGAGACAAAAGACAGATTTGAGCACAGCTGAAAGTGACGATGTGTTATAATACATCAACCGATATATCGTGATATTCGGCTGCCCAATATAATATCGATCTTTCACTTCTTAGTATCGAT